GAAGATTTTCTCCTTCTACTTCTAATTATCACCTTCCATCAACACTTCTCATCTTATCGCGTCAGGGGAGGAAACACTACGGGCCCTCACAACTGTTGACTTGCAGTACAATCGGGGTAATCACGACACAGCAGGAGGCCGGTGTAATCGGGCTACATTGTTACAATCAGATTAGACTGTGCACCTGTTAAAAACCTATCAGTCGGTATTCAACACCACTGTGCGGGGATACAACATCATTGTGCTGTGTAGAATAGCTGGGACCAACACCGATGCTGTGGCTGATGATTTTATTTGTGGACAAAAGAAATCTTTATGGTGTCCTTTAGTCGCATGAAGGAGATTTGATTCGATCCGTTTTCGGTTGTGGTGTCAGAATGACAAGAGGTCGTTTCGAAGGGTGTTAAATAACTGCATGGGTTGAAAAAAATGCAACATTTTGAAAATGTTGAAGTAATTTGTCATTTCTTAGAAATTAGTAATAACGTCAATACGGACATCGAAATTATGACGAAAAACGTATCACACCAAACATTGTTCGTCCTTCCTCTTGACATGTCGTCTGTCTCACAGTCCCTGAACCACATTACTTGCCCTACTGTCCAGCCCTCCCTGCAGTGCTATCTGGGGCTCCTTTTCAACTTAAATAGGTTTGTTCGTTACTGTCAAAATCATATATATTCAGGGACTAAGCGTTAGTCTACTTGACATGGTAACAGTCCTCTTCAGCTTGAAGAGTCATGGTCTCGCTGATCGGTCAAAAAGTCTTGTTAGATCTTATATTTTCTAGTACAAAGTTATGCTGGGTCATTTTTACTACAATATTTGTCAGTACGAGAAACCCGGTTTCAATGCAGGAAATAGAATGATAATGTTTCAGTAATTACATTCGGTTTGATGTTTATAGATATCTCCTGGGAAACCCGGATATGGACTGAGATAGGAGGTGAAGTTCTAAGGTCCTACAGTGACGTTCCCGCTCACACAAGTGATGAATCAGAGAGTATGGGGAAGTGTATTCAGTGTAGTAAGGTCTCTTGGGACCAGCGAGGACGCGAGGTTCTGTCGCCCTGCTCGTGTGCACGTACACGCTTGCTACTGAACATGTTCTCATTGCGCAATACACATTCTACGGTTATTTTCCATACAGCTATATCAACGGCAGACCTTCAAGGTCCCATTCCTATTGTCAGACTTGAAAATTCAAACTCTTATCTAGAAAATTTAATTCCTTTCTAATGGCAGTGTCCTCACAGTGAGTGAGTGAGTGACTTTAGTTTTACTCCGATTTTAGCAATATTCCAGCAATATCACAGCGGGTGATACCAGAAATGGGCTTCACACTTTGTACCCATGTGGGGAATAAAACCCGGGTCTTCGGCGTGACGAGCGAACGCTTTAACCACCAGGCTACCCCACCGCCCCGTGTCCGCACAGAACTAAACGTGGAGCCTCAGGAGGCCTATTCACTGTTGCAGCTTATCCTGATTTTTCCACATAGTACCTGAAAATGTTAGCTTACTAATACGATTTTCAAGATAGTAGAAACTTGAGTGTTGACAACTCAGTTTAAATAAATAAATAAATATATATATATATATATATATATATATAAATATATATATATATATATATAAATAAATATATATAAGTAAATATATAAAGAAAGAAAGAAAGACGGACTGACTGACTGAGTATAGTTTTACGCCGCTTTTAGCAATATTCCAGCAATATCACGGCGGGGGACACCAGAAATGGGCTTCACACATTGTACCCATGTGGAGAATCGAACCCTTGTCTTCAGCGTTAAGAGCGAACGCTTTAACCACTAGGCTACCCCACCGCCCAAGAAGGAGAAAAGAAAGAAAGATAGATAGATAGATAGATAGATAGATAGATAGATAGATAGATAGATAGATAGATAGATAGATAGATAGATAGATAGATAGATAGATAGATAGATAGATAGATAAATAAAATAAAATAAACCAATAAATAAATAAATAAATAGGTTCAGCCAAAACGCACCATATCATCTAATTTAAGGGTGAGATCAATAATTACATGTTCCACTTGAAGTGATAGTGATCGAGTAAAAAAACGGATTTATGTCAGGTATGCACATAAAGTAACGTCCAAGCTAGATCAGTACATTACATAGACTAAGTACAGTAATGAGGCCTAAACTACCGGGCTAAAGGAGATACATAACTACGCTAAATGAATTTCCATTTCCGATGGTGAGTGAGTGAGTTTAGTGTTACGCCGCACTCAGCATTATTCCAGCTATATGGCGGGGGTCTGTAAATAATCGAGTCTGGACCAGATCACCAGTCCAGTGATCAACAGCATGAACATCGATCTGCGCAATTGGGAACCGATGACATGTGTCAACCAAGCCAGCGAACTTGACCACCCGATCCCCTTACGACAAGCATGGGTTACTGAAGGTTCATTCTAACCCGGACCTTTACGCGTTCCGATGGTGATGAATTTTGAT